TGGTGCTCCTTGGCCTGCTGTGTTCATCCAGCTCTACACCTTGTTATCTACAGATTCCAGTTTGGCAAAGTAAAGCATTGACAGTGATTCATTAAAGTTGGAAGATTTAATGGAGGAAAGAAAGTTTTATTTACCGTTCTAGCATCCCACAGAGAAATGGTCTTGTCAGCTGCACTGGTGAGCAGTGTATTGGAGAAGGGGAGAAACTCAACGCTATTCACGGAATCAACATGACCTCGGAGTGTCTGTCTACACCTCTTACTGTAAAAAAAGTAATTAGAAATGCATCAGTTATCTGCAGAACAAAAGAGTCAAGCTACTTCCACTACTGTAAGTGTCAAGTGTTGAATAGGAGATTTTCAATCTTGAGTTAATCTGGCAGAAATTAAATCTAACTTTGCAGTCACTGGGTCACTGGATCCATCTCCCTTATATTAAATAGCTGAGACTAATTACTAATACTGTTTTATTTCCCTCACACTATAGATGTAGCAGCAAATCTGGCAAATAATGTGGTGATGACTAAAGATACCATACTGTGTCATTTCTGTTTCACAGGAACAGTTCGCCTGTCACACTGGAGGAGAATAAATGTCACTGTTTTGACTGGACTTGCACGAGGATGAATTTTAAGCAAAGACAAGAGAAAAGACATGATGCATCTTCCAACAAAATGTGGTGTTGAAAATGATGACTTTCACTGTCCTGATGTGAACTGTTTCACCTAAATTTGGCTGACAAGCAAGACTCAAGCAGGCTGCCACAAGGAATGTATTAGGTGCATGCCATTCCAGTCAAACAGCTACATCAAACATCTGTGAGATTAATTAGCTACCATAATAAGTAGACATAACCTACCACTTCAAGCAAGGTGAAGAAGTGATGGGCTCTGACAGATTCTGATGAACTAAGTGATTTGTGACTTATCATCAGTATGTGACTGAGTATTATAGTACCTATGTTGACTGAGTATTATAGTACCTATGTTGTACTTGAAAACAATGTCGTTAAACTGATGGTTCTTTGAACATTTAATTTATATCTACTACACAGACTGACATTTTTATGCACCCCCAAATGGCTTATGACAAACAAATGTATCGTGATTTTCTTGTCAAGATGCAACTGCTATACAGAATGCATTATTTATCTTATCAAAAAGAAACTGACAGCTTTTGAGTTCATCTGTACAGAACTTTAGTAAGGAAGAACTGCTATTCATGTGTATTCTGCATCACATTGTAGTAGATTTCTTTCAGGTTTTCTTTGATCAGGAATGTAATAAATACACAAATACATGTATTAAAAATGTAATCTGATCCATGCATTTGCTTGTTGCGAAAAAGAACAAAGCAGGTTAGATCAGTTCTCACTTGCTTCTCTTTGGTGACTAAATTAAATCCAGCAATGGTGTTGTTTACAATTTCAATAATTATATAAATAATTTTTCTTTTATCTTTTCTTCTCTTTTTCCCAAATAGTGAAGTATGTTTCTATTACCTGTTGAAGGGATCAATCTTCATGTATAATCCTTGTGTTGGCCATTTATTAGGTTTACTGCTCATGTAAACTGTAGTTTAGATTGTAGCACTCTGAGGCAGAAGATTTTGAGTTCAAGTCCCAGCCCAAAAACTTGAGCAAATAATCCAGGGTAACACTTCAGGGCAGTACTGAAAAAAAGATGTTAATAAGAGGGCTCTGTCTAACCTTTCAAATGGTCATAAAATATTCTATGCTATTGTTTTGGAGAGAAGCAGTGATATACTACCTGGTGTCCTAACCAACTTTTATTTGTCAATCACACATATTTTGGCAATTGTCACATTTCTGTTTTTGCGGCCTTTCAGTGCACAAATAAATTGTTAAATTTCCTACATTGTAATAATGACTACACTTTAAAAGTGCTACAAAGTGCTTTGTGATATCCTGAGTTTGTGAACCAAGACATGTAAATACAAGTCTTTCTTTCTAGTGTGAACCATTGGAAAACTCTCAATAGCAGGAACGAGACAAATGTCACATTCCCCCCCCATGTCCCACTGATCTTTTTTGTTTCAAAAATATACTTTATTCATAAAAAATCTCTTTATATATATATTGTCACAAAGGCAGTTCAGTTCTGTACAGTTGCATATCAAGTAAATAAACAAAATATTGGACTTTGACTCTATCCAAAAAATCCAAAGACCTTTCTTTCACATACAATGTTAATATTTATAAATATTTGAGGCACTAGGAGGGTCTGATAATGGGATGGACTCCCATTTATCTTCAGCAGGAAGACTTCAGACAATGGTCTTTCCCCACTCCGCCTTGGCAGCGACCAACCCAAGCTACAGCGTGTCCCTCAGCACATAGTCCTGGGCCGTGGAATGTGCCAGTCTGCAACACTCAGTCAGGGTCAATTCCCTGTTCTGGAAGGCCTACAAGTTTCAGGCAGACCAAAAAGTGTCTTTGAATGAGTTGACGGTGCTCCAGGTGCAGTTGATTTTTGGCTCAGTGTACGTACTGAGGAACAGACTGTAAAGCACAGAGTCCTGTGTCACGGAGCTGCTCAGGACAGACCTCGAGACAAACAGCTGCATCTTCCTCCAGACTTCCTTCGTAAAGGTACATTCTAGAATGTGCTGTGTGAGTCTCAACCACAGCACCCCCGGTAGCCACTTCGATGGCAGGGTGCAGTGGTGCAGACCAAACTGGCATACATAAAGGATCTCACAGGTACTGCCCTTCTCACCACTAGCCAAGCGATGTTTTGGTGTTTGTCAGTAAGTTCTGGTGATGAGGCATTCTGCAAATGACTTTGACAGTCTGCTCAGGGAACCACACACAGGATTTACCCTCTTCCCTCAGGGTCTCAAGGATGCTGTGTGCTGATCATTCCTGATGGACTGGTTGTCAAAGTTGGTTTTCTTTGCAAATTTCTCGATGAAGGGCAGGTGATGTGGAAAGGTACAACTACTTGGAGCATTCCATGGCAGTGGAATCAGTCCCATCCTTCACAACACCAGGGACAGGCAGAACCTCAGCACGTAGTGACACTTGGGTGTTTGCATAACAAGGGCCTATGCACAAAGGTGGCTGTCGGGATGATGGCAATATTGGATATGTTCTACCCCCTCCTTATTCAGAGTTTTGTTCACTGAGTCCCTGCAGACCTGGTCCATCTTAGGCTTCCGGATGAAATAGAAGATGGCTGATTGAAACAGCGCAGTTTTGGGGGATTGGCCAGACCTGCGCCACATACAACAACAACAATATTCCCAGCTCCTTTGGGTAATCTGTCCTGACGGTGAAGGGGATAGAGGATCATTTGGCCCAGTTCCCAAAAAACATGGCATCATTCTTGTCTCAATTTCCCTTGGCTCCCAAGGCCAGTTTGAACTGATCGCAGATGCTCATGAATCTGTGCATTGACAGTGGATCATGGATCTGAGCAGAAAATGATGTTATTGATATACAGGGAGGCTTTGACCTGCAGACCTCTGCCTGGAATAGTCACTCCCTCAGGCTCGCATCCTTCATGATAGACTCAGCAGAAGGCTCTACAGCACACAAACAAGGCAGGAAAGAGTGGGCAGCCCTGCCTGACTTCAGATCTGATCGAGTAGCTTATTGATTCCCATTCATTAATTGAGACTGTGCTAAAGGTGTTGGTGTAGAGCAGTCGGATCCAAATGCAGATTCCCTCCCCAAAGCCCATTTTGGACAGCATGTCCCACAAGTACATGTGTGATATCCTGTCAAAGGCCTTCTGCTGGTTCAGGCTGATGAGGCAGGCATCTATCCCCCTGTCCTGCATGTAGGCGATTGTATCCCTGAGGTGCATGAGGCTCTCAGAGACAGGCTTGGTCGGGGTGAATCACTGATCCCAGAGCAGACCTGACTCGGTTGATGATGACTGTACACAGGATTTTGTAGTCTGTATTCAGCAATGATATTGGCTGCCAATTTCTACTTTCCTCCCCCTCCCCCTTTGCTTTGTAGTTGAGGGTGTTGATACCTTTCTTCATGGATTCGCACATGGTATCTGCCAGAAGCATACTGTCATATACCTCCAGCAGGCCCTGGCCAATCAAGTCACACAGACCTGAATACAACTTGGTTGGTAAGCCGTCGCTTTGGGAGTTTTATTCTTTCCTAAACACTCGAGGACATTGATCAGCTCATCCAGAGAAAACGACTGGTCCAGCCTCTCCCACATGCAGTTGTCTAAGACCACTATGATAGGTGACAGGAAGGACTGGGAGGCTGTGCTGTCGGTGGGCTTCATGTCTTACAGATTGGCATAGAAGTATTTGCTGATCCTCAGGATGCCAGACTGAGATGACGTTACCGAACCATCTTCTTTCTTCAGGCTACTGAGCAAAGAACTCTCCATGTGTACCCTGGACTGGAAGATTATCTTGGAGGCCTCTGAGGCAAACAGTGAGGCTTGCTGGCTCTTCACCTCCTGGAGATCCTCCGTGATATCAATCCCTATCATCTGCAGTAGGAGTAGGTTCTGTAGGCTTTTCTGGAGTTTGGACAGTTTTGCTCACCTCACTCTCACCTTCTGAACACCTTTGAAGATGAAAACCCTCTTTCTGCTCCCTTTGATTGATTCCCACCAGTCCACTGGACAGTCAAAGAAGGGCTTCACTGTTCTCCAACCTATGTAATCCCTTTTGAGCACCTCAATGTTTTCTGGGGTCAACAATTTCACGTTTAGCTTCCACGTTCCCTTGCCAGCCCATTGGTCGTCCTGTATGTGACAGTCGGCCAGCAGGAGACAGTGGGGTCAGAGAAGAACACCGGCTTGATGTCAGTGGTTTTCACCGAGAATGTGCGGGACGCAAACAGTAAATCATCAACAGTAATTGAGCAGGTAGACCCGTCTGGCTGCGACTAGGTATATTTACACTGCGCTCTGTCTGCAGTGATGCTGAAAACATTATGCAGCTTGGTGACTTTAACCATTTCTATCACGAATCTAGATGTGGATTCCAGTTTCCTGTCAGCCCCTCAGGAACATCCAGCCGTATCGGTGATGCTATTGAAGTCTCTGGCCAGAATGACTGGCCTGGACATTGCCAGCAGTGGTAGCTGCTGCAGGACGGCCAGCTGCTCACTCTTTACCAGCAGGGTGTACACATTAATTAGTCTCGGGGAGCATTTCTGCATGTAACATCTGCTATGAGGAGGCACCTGCCCACACCACCACCTCTTTAACCTCGGGGATGGTGAAGTTGCCTCTTTGCAGCGGAATACCCAGGCTGGAG